CTCTCTCTCTCTCTCTCTCTCTTTCGCTGAAAATATTTTTGATGAAAATAATATATATTAGTTGTACTTCTCTTTCTATAAATTTTTGCATTAAATCAAATGTAATTATAATAATTAATTTACTGCTTATAAAACATATTAAAAATGATATTTAAATCGCAGAACGTATGACACAATTGTGGACATTGGTTGTGGAGACGGAGGCGTCACTAAGCAGTTGGCCAGTCGTGTAGCGCACCGGCGAGTTATGGCCGTCGACGTGGACCCGGCAATGATAGCGTACGCCCGGCAGCACAACAACGCGCCCACCATTGAGTACAGCATCCAAAACATGGCTACAAAGTGGGCGCACCTTAGCCCAGATATTCAGCGCCTGGAGGGCAGCGTTGATCTGATATTCGCCAACTTCTCCTTCAACCGGATTCGGGCCAAAAGCCAATTGCTGTCAATATGTCGGCGACTGTTGGCCACCGGCGGCCAGATTTACGCCAATATTGTGCTAATTTCGGACGTTAACCGCAAGGCGGGGCCCAATCAACGTCGCCGCGAATGGTGTCCGTCACCCGACAAACAGTTGGCTGAGTGGCGACAACTGTTACGCGATTACGGTATGGCTGTCGACGTGTTTGAGTTGGACCGCCAAACCTATTGTTTGACGCGTCAAGAAATTATCGGTACGTAATATTATGTCTATCAAAAAGCGCAGGGTCCATAAACAATCATATTTCGCTAACATTGGTGCCAATTTGGCACTGCCAAACATGTAACTTTATTTTAGAAATTTATTTTTATTACATGTATATATAAACATTAATTTCGCAAACACCTTGCGCACCTTGCTCGTCAGTCATATTGTAGAATCATCGCCACCATGTCAATTAATTGTTCACTATTTAAATAACATGACGCCTATCCTATAGTTTACGTAACGTCTGTCGTTCTCGACTACAAAATGTACTTCGAAACCGACCATCAGTTTGAGTGCGACAAAAACGATTTGATGGAAATACTGTATGACTTGACGTTCAACCCGTCGACCGACGCGCCCGACCCCAAGGCCTGGACTCGCTTTCTGGCCAATGAGAGCGTCGCCGACGGAATCGTTACCAGACAAGTCCTGCGATTCGTTTGCAATTAAATTACAGATATATTATAGTTTCCCACAATTACAATGATTATACAATCGTGGGTAATTACCCTAAAATTTAGCACATTACCCGCGTATTATCTATTTAAAAATAGTCAAATTATTAGAATACTTGGTTATACATGATATCTATTGTGAAACTAAAACAAAATTCTTATAATTTTATAATACAAAATTTTATATTATTATTAATTGTAATATTTGTTTTAATTAATAAAATCCTCCATTCGTTGACATGGGTTCATTAATACACAAGGTTTTATTAAACAATTTAAGTGTATTAGCAATTTAATTATAAAAAATAAAAGTATTAAATTGTGATAACTTTTATACTAAATAAATTTAATGTTAAAATGTAATTAAATAATTAGAAATAATGTATAAATTAAATAATTAGCTATAAAACACAAACACAATGATGATCAATTCAGACATGTAGATAAGATTATATGCGAATTGAAAGCAACAAAAATCATAAATAAATTGCTATTTAAATACATACGACACACGCTATACACAGACACTCTCTAACCGGTCACACCTATACCCTAAACAGTGGGCGTATAGGCATCGGTAGACAAAGAAAGTGTGTGATCACGTGATATCTTATCTACATCTGAATGTATAGGTATTTGTTTTCAAGCCATGAGTTCAGGTATGAGACACTGATTATGGTGTGTCCAACAGTTCACCATCATGGTCCCATCGGGAGCTGGGTGGTTTTATGATGGTAGGGTTGTTGGTCGAGCCGGTTGTGCGCCAGCTCTTTTTCGCACATAATTCTTGTGCCACACCCTCTCGATGGACCATATTATGATCAAAACCCAATATTAGGTGGGTTATGTGCCGGGCATTATGGTAATCACCCCAACTGTAAACACTTCTGGCTTGAAATCACATGCATTATTAATATTGTCGCTGAATAGCATTGCTACCATGAGCCTGATTGCCACTATTATCATCTCGGTGGTTATATTAAAACATGGTTAATACAAATTACTTGTGTATCATTTACAATATACAAAACGACTTGTATTAAGTTGTAGTGAAATAATGATAATATTTTATAAGAATGTAATTTCTAGTATATTCACTGTTTGGTATACGTGTCATATATTGATAATTACCAAGGTACCAATTACCAAGATAACACAAGATATCTAACCGGTTATTTAGTTGTCGATCTTATTTACACAATTATTTAATTTATAATTGTAATCAAATATTTTATTTAATGTAATGTTAGTTATTAAATTCTAACAAGTATTTATAATGAGTCATTAATAACATTGTTTTTATTTAATTATTTTTTAGTAAATTAAAATTGTAAATCAATTATGTGTTTTAAAATATATTTTATGTATAAATTATAATTGTTATTCGTTTTAAGTAAATACAATATTAAATGTGAATGATATGCTCTCTTTACCAGTGCGAGTACGTAGCTTCCCGTTTTGTAAACGACTTCTATTCTTTTTTTGACATTGTGAATTACTAGTCTATAGTATATTTTGTTCGATCGTGGCGTAATACATATTTGACCTTTTCTTTACACATTATTTTTAGTATAAATATACATTTAATGTAATGTATTTTAAAATGTTTTATTTTAATCATAGTTAATTATATTTAAAAAGTTAACTTTACATTAAATTTTTATAATGAGAGAGAGAGAGAGAGAGAGAGAGAGAGAGAAAGTTAATAATAAAGTTAATATTCAAGTTTTTAAAGGTACGCCACCGACACATTATAAATTTAATTTTTTTAATCACTTTGTAAAATCAAATTAATTTTAATTTAGGTAGAATTTGTAGAATGAAAGCAACTTGCTTATTTTGTGAATTGATTATATCAAACATCTTGAGCGCTTGTGCCCGTTGGGGTAGTTTTCTTTGGCGTATATTTCTGGCGGCATGTCCATTGCTTAATCAACTAAATAATATATGGCAATTACAATATAGCAATATATATTACAATGTTAGTTAATTAATATTATATAAATGATAAATTTGAATACTTTTGATTTCGGCTTAGATAATAAAACTATAATTTATTTTAAATTAAATGTTTAATGACAAATGTTACTTTGATCAAGGTAGCTAACACAATATATTACATTGTTGAATTGAATATTCAATATTTTATAAATCATCATTAAACATTGACAAATATTATTGTATCAATTAATCAATTAAAAAATCAATTATCACCGTCGTAAGTTCAAAATAATAATAAAACGGGAGCCGGACACTTGCTCAAAATACACTTGCTCGAAGTACACTCTTAAAATACACTTGCTCGAAATACACTTTCTTAAAATACACATGCTCGAAATATACTTGCTCGAATTTTTTTAATTGCTATTTTTAATATTATAATCAATAAAAATCATAATTTTATTTATATTCATTATAAGATATAATTTGTTTGATTTATAATTGATGTTTAAAACACAAAATCATTAATATAAATCATTATTTTTCTTTATTTTATAAATTAATTTAGTTTAGTTAAAATATTTGTAAAAAGAATTAATATTCTTGCTATAAATTTAATATAATCGATATTTTTTATTTATAATGTTAAAGTAGCAATTAAAAAATTTTCGAGCAAGTGATTTTTGAGCAAGTGATTTTCGAGTAAGTGTATTTCGAGCAAGTGTCCATAACCCTAATAAAATAATGACAAAACATAAAATGGATATACACCGCACGAAACTCACCACGGCCGTTAGCTTCTGAAGTAAAGAGTAAAAATAATGTATAGCTAAGTAAAAAGTGATGACATGTGAAAATGGATAAAATAAAAATAGTGTTATAAGCAAAAAGTATAGATAGAAAAAATGAAGAAATAATAATTGAGATTGAAGAATTAAAAACTGTAAAATAAGTTGAAGAAATAATTAAAATTAAATAATAATTAAAATAAATAAATTAATTAATTAATAAATACACAAAATAATATTTACTTAGTACACCCACAAAATCATACATAACTCTTGTACAAAGACATACAGAGCCATCACCCTATATGTCCAATGGAATATCCATGTTATTTATACTTTTAGAGAATGACCACTGTTTATTCCAAAAATACCAGGACAATTTTAACAAAAATTTTATAGCTAATAGTCATTATTTATATGTTAATTTTAATCCATAATTGATTTTAATTATATAACATTTTACTTAAAATTAAAGCATTTTTCTAATATGTGGTTGGGTAACAAAATTGATCCCAATTAAATGATGCTGTACACCGAGAAGGAAAGCAACACGGTCACGTGTAGTTTATATGACAATGTATTACCACCATAATTGGTTTTAATATGAATGCATTTTTTATTTAAAAATTTTCATAATTAAAAAATTTAAAATTCTGGATTTTGCAAAATGGCTAATTTTTGACAGAATTAGATTGGAGTTTAAACCTATCAGGATTTATATAAGATTAGTATATGATCTTAATCTATAACACACGGCAAACAAATGCCAATGAAATTCAATCAATTCCTAATTTAAATGCCTGAGCAATTAAAGTTTGAAAATGGCAACTCTACCATTTTCATGGTTTAAATATGTTTGGCCAGAGCTTTCCGACGGGTAGTTAGGAGACCACTCACATTGGGATTAGATACAGTAGATATAAGTACATAAAAGCATATACCATATAGATTTAAAAGATTATTCGTTTTCATTTTAAATTCAATTAAATCAAAATATTACCTAAATTGGACAAATAGACTGCTGGCTCTGTACATGTATGTGTAAACACATATGTAAATTAACACAAAAGAGACACAAACAGATATAAATTTAATCATGAACTAAAATTGTGTGACGACGCTCACGATGTGCCAAAGTTTGAATATTGAGACGATATATTAACTACCGTAACTTTTGTAATAATTTAATTGATATTTGGGTTTTTAATAAAAGCATTGTTATAAAGTACTCGAGTATTCAATTCAGCGAATCTTCAGTGGACATACCGACGGCTCGCCATCCAAGCGGTGATACCTCGATCGGCGCCGACTCTTCCCCCCATTGGCGGCGATTCTTCCCATTGACGGCATCTCTTCCGATCGGTGGGCGACTCTTTTGATTGGTGACAAACTTACAGCCACCACAACGTAAGCGTAATAAGATTTTCATACTCGCTTAACTGTCCCGGTCTGTGCCGCTGCCTTACCGCTCCCTCTCTTACTCTACGATCCATCGGTTCCTATAGCTCATTGTCGCTGTGGGCGCGGTTCCGACGAAACATTCGTGTAGTGAGTGTGGGATGTCTTGTAGTGTGTGGGGGGCGACTGTGCGGCCGCAAAGTCCTTTTGGGGTAGTTTAACGCACTGTTCGTCACTTCCGGCGAGACAGAAATTTCAAATCGGGTCTGAATCGGTAAACGCCTAAACTAACCGAATTAATAAAAATGATTCAATCGTATGATTGAGTGACGTACTGTATGGCTTGCCCAAGACAGCGCCACTCACATTATGCAATTATTACATAACATTCATTACATAATGTTTGTTGGTGTGGTACGAAGAATTACACATATTGTATGTTAGTACTTTATATGGTTAGAGTAGAAAATATTTATTTTTTTATAATACAGTATGTTTATAATACAAGCATTTGTTTAATTTTAATTTTCTAATTATTACGCCTTCGGGAAAGTAATAGCATTTTTGTAATCAAAATTCAAAATTAATTTTTATTGTGAAGGAATACATTATTTCAAATTATATAATGGCCGTCATTATTGGCAACTATTGACCATCTTTCGGGTAGACGTTCAATGCCCTCCCTATAAAAATTACCATCTTTAGAGGCAAAAAAGTCACTGATGGTAGTTTCGACCTCTTGTTTTGTTTTGAAATTTTTACCATTA